AGCGGCCTGCCCAGCCTTCACACATCGAAATGAGTGTCTCTGAACTTCGTAAACCAACTCAATGCTCTTCATCAAATTCTCCATGGCTCCGTTATCATACATCCCTGGACCCATGCCCGGGGGTACCAGTGGCTTTAAGCACAAGCCCCCATGGGGTCCTGTCCGCGTAGAAGACCCTGAACTCGTCGCCGGGGGAAGCCTGGCGTTCGTCCATCACGAACCCAACATTCAGCTCCCGGAACTCCTGGGAATCCGCGAACTTCTCCATCCCGTGAAAGCCGCCAATCTCCTCGTCGGGGACGTACGACACATGGACCGTACGCAGGGGGGCGAATGCCCTGGACTTGAGGGAGCGGATGGCCTCCAGGTACTGCATGCCGATACACTTGTCGTCCTGCGCTCCACGAGCGAAAATCTCGCCAGTGGGGGTGCGAAAGGCGGAGAAAGGCGGGTGGAGCCATTTGGCAGGTTCAGCGGGGACGGAGTCGAGGTGAGAGTTGAAGAGAATTGAAGGGAGGGAAGGGTCGGAACCCCGCCAGGTAAGGAGGAGGACAGGTTTGCCCGGGACGAACTCGAGAGAACGGACGTTTAAGGCCAGGGATTGGGCTTGGTCGATGAGGAAGGAGATCGGAGCGGTGTAGTTGGGGTCTGGATGGGCTGTGTTGAACCTCAGGTATCGTTGGTAGCGGGTGACAGGTGTATCCTCTTCTTCTTCTTCTTGGGAATCTTGTGACTGAGATTTTGCAGATAATAGCGAGAATAAGAAGGCCAAGATTAGGAGGACGTATAACAGGCGGCGAGAGGCGGCCATGGGTTTTGTTAGACTGAGTGACTGACTGAGCCACCTCGGTCAACTACGATCCAGTCATTTATGAAGAGACGACTACTGTTAGCCCATATTTTTATTTTTAAATATGGAATTTCACTGTAAAACCCAAACAATGCAACTCAAAATAACGGGTCTGGAATTTAATTAAAATTGATTCAATTAAAAATTTCATCTCCATGAACAACTTATTTTGATATTATTTAAATTATTAATTTTTTTTGAGTAAATAAAAATTATCACCATATGCAAAATCTATAAATAGTTATTTACTGTTGCAGATTTGTTTGTATGCGATACGAGAGAGAACACTATTTATTATATTTCCTTAAAGTTAAATTAAAATTGTATGGTTTTTATACGATTTTAATGCTTCGTTAATCTTAAACTACGATTTTATATCTCTTTTTGAAAAATATTCTAAATCAATACGTAATTGTAAAATAATTTATTTTCAAAATAACAAGAAATAAATAAAACGCACACGTAATTTTAATACTATAATTGTCTTTTATATTATCGATTTTTATTATTTTTTATTTTATTCATCATAAAATAATAAATTATAAATATAGTATTTACGCATATTACAATTTTATATTTAAATATAATAAATTAAGATTTATGATTATTAAATATAATTAATCATTTTTAAACGAAACTAATAAATTGATAGTTTGTTGCACACATTAAATTTTATATTAAGTTCATTTATTAATAATAATAAAATAATAATATATATTTTTTGTATTATTTTATTTATATATTGGTATATTCTATATACGTAAATTTATAATATTTATAAATACGATTTTACATATAATTAAAAATATAACATTTAAATAACAAGAAGATATAACATTATTTATATTTACACTATTTTTGTTACATTATTAATTTTTCTGACAAATATATTTTTTCTTCTTGAGAGAGCTACTATTTTTTTACTAACCATATATATATTTATATATATAAACTGCTTTCATAAACTTGGTACAATATTATTATATTGGATTCTTTCCCCTTGAACCTAACATTTACCTTTAAATCACCATTGACCAAAATCCGCTTATTTGCTTATAAAATCAGAATTCAAAGAGTTTTCAAATTCTATAATTATTTAATATATAAGTAAACTAATTATTCATATATTTACTTTTACAACAATATTATTTCGTCCTCATCATTAAATTTTTTTTTTCTAAAAATACAGAATTTAAGTTAAATAAAATTGATTTGAAATTATAATATATATTTTATTGATATTTTATGAAATTAAAATTTAAACCACATTTTTGAACCTCTTAAAATAAATTCCAAATTGCGTTGACCACTGCTGCGTTATAGCAGTAGGAATTATACGCTATCCTGGTGCGTGATGAGTATGAGCGACGAGGGCGCGTGGGAATAAACCTTCCATTTCCACCGCCTTTTTTAAATTGACCATCGCAGCCCAAATATGATTGGATGGTCTTCCAACCTCTTACGTCAAAGTGGACCACAAAATCTCTCTTCCTCGAAAATCCAACACGCATTACTTCTCACGCGCCTATATAGATCTCAGCGACCCCTCACTCGGTTGCGCGTGGACAACATCTCCTGCTCTTAGTTAAGGAGCCTAGATTTCATAAAGCATAAACATAATTAAAAAATAAAAATAAAAAAAAAGAAACAGAAGGAGAGAATCAGACACGACGACCTGCGACGCCGAGTTTTCTACAATGGTGAAAGGCTCTCTATCAGGCTTCCATGTAGGGGTGCTGTCCCTAATATTTCTGTGCTTAACGATTAGCGATAAAAGCAATCTCGTCCCCGTTGCAGAAGCTTTATGGTTGACGATTCCTAGTACGGGTTCCAAGTGCGTGTCGGAGGAGATTCGAGATAACGTCGTCGTTTTGGGTAGTTACCACGTGTTCGACGACGATCATCCCGAAAGCGTTCCCAAGATCAGTGCTCGGGTATGGTGAATCAGTCTCGCATAAATGATATAGTCTTTTTCTCTTTTTTATTTGGACAGAAACGGATTATACGTAATGCGAGTGTAGTTTGACGAGAAAAGTGATGTCGTTTTGTGAAGGTAACATCGCCGTACGGGAAGCGTCTGTACGAAATTCAGAATGTGAGTTATGGAGATTTTGCATTTACAAGTCAGGAAGCTGGTGAATACATGGCTTGTTTCTGGACGGATGCCAGTCGGGAACAAACTACGCCCGTAAGTCTCGGGCTTAACTGGAGAATTGGGGTCGATGCCAAGGATTGGGCCTCCATTGCCAAAAAGGAAAAGATTGAGGCAAGCTTCTAACTTAATACTACACATTTATTTTCCAGTTTAAAATATAATCAACTCTGTGAGTACGTATGAGATATTTTTCTTTTTGCAGGGAGTGGAGCTTCAGTTGAGAAAACTTGAAGAATTAGTCAATGGAATTCATGATCGGTTACTCTATTTCAAGCTAAGGTATTTTGTTTATTGATTTTCTGTGTGTTTAATTTGTTTTTTACAGTTGAACATGAATGAATGTATACGTGTGTGTATATATATATATATTTAATACTGGGATGGAATTATTACAGGGAGTTACGTACGAGAGAAATGAGCGAAGCAGCCAACTGGAAAGTGGCAAGGTTTAGTATAATGTCGATCGGTGTTTGCATAGTGGCCTCCATTTTGCAGCTCTGGCATTTGAAGCGTTACTTTGTAAAGAAGAGGCTTATCTAGATTTTGTTCATAATAGACTTCGTTAAAAAAAAAAATATATGTCTGCTTGTCTCAACATAAATTTTCTTTTGTTAATCATAATATTTTATATAATACCACCCTATTTATAATTTAAGAATTATAACTATTTTTTAGTTTTTAATAAATTAAAAATTAAATTTTTTAATATTTATACATAATTAAATTTCATATTTTATGAGATCCCGTTAAACTTATATCTTATAATTATCAATAATTAAATTTAAATATACATAAAATTGTGTATCTTTTTCTTCTTTATTATATTATTTTTGTTGTTATTTTTGTTTTGAGATAAAGTTAGAGTTAAAATTATTTTGGTCAGTACCAAATTTAAAATTTTTAATTTAAATGACTGAGTGTTAAAAATTTTGTAAAAATAATTGTATTCAAATTAATTTTATAATATACTATTTAATAAATTTTAATATAAAAATAGTTACCAATATAAATATTGTAGTATTATGTTTAATTCAAAAGAAAATTTATGATTGAAATTAATACGAAAACAAAATCATTAAATTATAACACTCAAACACTCTGCTCAAATGTAAGTTAATTAAAAAAGAAATTGTACCTTTATATTAATTACCTAATTAGTTTATTATATATTAATGATTTGAAATATCTATTAAATCATACATGCATACATAAAATATGATTATGTTTGAAATTTACATGTAAGTAATAATTTTTAAAAAGATTATCTTCGTCGCCTATGAGATACAATCAGCCCATTTAGGCCACGGCTCAAGAAAAACAAAGAGTTAACGCCAACTAAAACTAAGGTCAATCTTGCAGTACCGTTAGTTTACGGCACAAAAAGGGCCCGACCCGGCTTCCTGCTATCGGTTTTGGAAGGATGGCGATTGCAGCAGCGGCAGCAATAGCAGCGATGCCATCGTCAATGGCTTTACTTACAAGACCAAAGCCCAAGTGGAAGTTCACTACTACGGCTTATTCTTCATTTTTCTCTTCTTCTTCCTCGCCAACATCTAAAACTAGGAAGCTCGTCCTTTACTCGAAACCCGGTTGCTGTTTGTGTGACGGCCTCAAGGAAAAGCTCCAGGCCGCCTTCTTGCTCTCTGGTCCTGATTCCCTCCACGATGTCGATTTGCAGGCAAGTATATCTCTATATTTCTTTATCCTTCTATGTGTTTAAATGTATGTATGTATGCATGTGTGCGAGTATGTATAAATTGAAATGGATTTGCTTGGGTTTTTCTAGGTGAGGGATATTACCAGCAATCCAGAGTGGGAAAAAGCTTACCAGTATGAGATACCGGTTTTGGCAAGAGTAGTTTCTGATGGCACTGAGGTTTGTGTTATTCGGCTTGCCTTCCTCTGTTTTGTTTTCTTGTTTTTTTTTTTTTTTTTTTTGTGGTGGGTGGTTGTTTTAAGCTTTTTGTCTAATTGTGTCATGCTTGGTTATTGTTTTTAATGGGAATTTCTTTAATGTTAGGAAGTATTGCAGTTCAGAAATCCACATTTTGGGAAGACTCCCTTGGTTGGTTTTCAGTCTGCAACTTTGCCATTAAATACATTGGTTGATTTTCAGTCCGTAACTTTGCCATTAAATACCTTGGAATCACATTCATCGAGGGGGAAGAAGAACATATCTTCGAATAGTGTTGAAGCAAGAATTTATTGAAAGCATAGCGAGATTGAATAGTTATCATTATACTAAAAGAACTCATTGGGGAGTGAGATGATAGGTGAACCTAAATATGTTACATCTAAGTGGCAAAAAGCTTTGAGAGGTTTCATTTTAAAATCTTGTTAAAATTTCCTTTTTTTTTCTTTGTGGTTTTATACCTTGCAGATATTATGGCAGGCAATAATGTTCTAAATGAGAGGGCCAGTTTCTCTTGATATCCTACATTTTTGTTAGACAGAAACAAAAGGTTAATGTTTTACAATTTAGTTGGGTGACAGTAGAAGGAGATGTCCTTCAATGTTTTCTTTCTCTTTTAAGATTGATTATTTTAGCTATCGTTGCAGTATTTTATCAATCACCCCATTACAGATTATTGCAACTCTATTTATTTGGAAGGTCATCTGCAGGAAAAATCTATTTAGCACAACACTTGTGCAAAGCATGTAGTGGATGTAGTGTCTTTTCTTCTTTAAAATATTTTAAAGAAGATTGACTTATAAAATAATGTAAATCTAGGTCAACTTTTAGTTAGTTTGACAATATTGTAGTATTATCAGGTGTATCTTTTTCAGCTGAATATAGTTGTTCTCGAAACAAACCTTGATCTATCCTTGTCATTGGCCCATATTTTTCTTAAACATTCTCTGAAGTTTATGCATGGAATACATCAACTTCTATAAAAAATCCTTTTGGCCCTAAAATAGGTAAGAAAATGGACAAAAAGGGATTTCCAAAATGACAGGTGTCACTAGGTGAGGATGCATCCAAAGGGAACCAGTAACGAGCGTGTTCTAGATGAGTCCAAGTCTTGTTCTTGGCCTTTCCTTGAGAGTCCTTACAATGATGCAATACCTGATATAAATGGTAACTAATAGCTGTTACTCTCATATTACAATTTTGAATTAGAATTTCTGACTTCTTCATCTCTAAAACAATTTTAAATTAGAATTTCATCAGATGGTTAGATTGTTCTCTGCCTTCTCCATCTCTAAAATATTAGCAAGTTAATCTCTCTTGTTGACTAGTTGTTGTCCCAGACTTCCAATAGTTTACATAATAAGATCATTCGGATATGACAACTTCTGCATCTAAAAGATGTTGAACTTTAGTGAGATGAGAGTTCACATCAACAATTTTAAATTACATGCAACTAAAATTTGTGAGGATCTGCTTTAGTGTCAGCTCTCTCTACTCTTTTCTGTCCGGTCATAACTTTAACGAAAAATATCATTTTCTCTCAAAAATCATTTGGAAATCGGGTACCCCTCCAAGAATTGCTTTTTTTGCCTGGGAAGCTGCAAAAGGGAAAATCCTGACAATTGACAATTTGATGAAAAGAGGGCATACTATTTTCAACAGGTGTTTCTTATGTAAGAGATCTCTTGAATCATGTAATCATTTACTTTTGAAATGTCAAACATCTCACAAATTCTGAAGTATGATACTCGGGCTTTTGGGGATCTCTTGGGTAATGGCAGATTCTGTTTATTCCAAACTTCTAGTATGGGAAGATTTGAGTGGTAACAAAGCGCATAGGTTAATCACTCTTACTATTTTCTGGGTTATTTGGAAGGAGAGAAACAACAGGGCTTTTGAGGGGCTTGAACAAGATTTTAATAATATAAAAAATAAATGGTTTCATTATTTTGCCTCTACTGTTTTAGAACATAATTTAGAATATTTTGAAAATCTTGGTTCTATTGTAGATATGCTAATTGACATGTAAATTTTTTGTAAATGGGTGGTGCTCCCTTAGCACCTCACATTAATATATATTCTCTTCTTTTATTTAAAAAAAAAATAAATAAATTGAGTGCAAAGTAAAGTAAAACAGTTTCAGTGGATCCAGTATTAGCATTCTTGCAACATACTAGGAGGGAACGTGTTTGATCCGTTGGGTTTTGATCGATTTCTGGTTAAGGAGGAGTTTGTTTATCTCGTGCTGCTCTATAACTTACTAAATTGTTGAATTGGCATTTTGATAGGGTCTTGGGCAAAACTTATTCGAAGTGAAGTAAGAATTTGAAGAAAATACCTCGCTATCAATGGTGTAGGAAGTAAAAACTAAGATCCTTGAGCATGTGGAATATGCACATTGACCTGTAAAAGATCATTTGATAGACAATCTGTTACCTATTTTGTTTATGGGGTGATAGTATAGCTCTAGCTATGAAGTAAGAATCCTTCAACACATACAGGTTAAAGAAAAAGTAAAAGAAAGAGAGAGGGTACATCAGTGGAGAGTACCATACATGCCAAATTTAGCATGCTTCATTACTGTGCCCCCTTCAATGGAGTTACTTATAGAATTTTCAGCATTAAAAGTCTTCCTCCCAATTAGTGTTTTTTACTAGCATAGAACTTAATCCTTGTTTTTCCTGCATATAGAGGATGAAGGAAAAAATTCAAAATCACAAGAATGGCTCCATAAGAAAAACTACGTATGCCTAAAACTACTATATGATTCTTGTGGACCTCCTCTTGCTCCCTAGGAGTATTCTGTGAAGTATAATCTCTTTGATATGAGCAAGAACTCAACATTTGTTGTATCCATCCTTGATTTTTACCCGTTGATTGTGAAGCTTATAATTGGAGTTTAAGCTCAAGTGATATGTCTGTTAAATAATGTACTTTACATGTAAATAATTAAAGGTGAATTATGCTAAAAGACATTATGGTAAAATCCGTCCTATGTAATTAATTGTTGGTTTCCTTTCTGGTTGTGGAGAACTTGTATATATAACATTAATATTATTTAATAATATACCTGACATATCATTCTTGACATGGTATCAGAATTTTAAGAAAAATACCGTAATTTTTTTACAAACCCTAATCAACCTTCATTGTCAAAATAAGAAAAACACAAAAATCCTAAATGGGATTAGCTTTCATAGCCAGCCATCAGAAAAACTCCAGCGACCACAACCTGCAGCAATGAGCACCAGCAAGCCAACAGCGCACTCACCCAGCCACATCTGCACCCAGCCACATCTGCCTCTGAGCCACATCTGCCTCTGAGCCACATCTGCACCCAGCTTTATGCCTCCAGCAGTGTGCCTGCCACCCAGCAGTGCGCCTGCCACCCAGCTGTGCATCCCTCCAACCACGCCTCTGTACAGCTGCCATAACTAATTCTGTCCTGGGTGCAACCTTCTGTCCAGCTACATTCAGACCATTAGTTTGTCTTATCAAATTGCCCTTAATTTCCCTGAAAACTTTAAATCATGTAGGAGGTTATGTCTCAAGTTATTGGCGCAAATTCCAACATGGTAAATTCACAACAACTCAATGAAATTTCAAGCAATTCAGGCTGTCTATTGCTTGAATGCAAAGAATTACCTGAATTGGCTACAACTACTTCGGATGATTCTTAAAGAAAAATGGAAAATCAGTCATATTCTGGGCACCGGATCTAAACTGGGAGACCCACAATTTGATGTCTATGATGAGGAAGATTCAATGATAATGACTTGGTTATGGGATTCAATATCACCTAAGATAAGCAATACTTGTATGTTCCTATCACTGCTAAGGAAGTTTGGGAAGCTCTTAAAGAAACTTATTTCAAAGTAAAAGATTCAGCCATACGATCTAATAATCAAATCTTGGTTTTCCAAGCATGGAAGTAGATAAGTGACGAAGTATGCTAATTTACTGAAAAATTAGTAGCAGAAACTAGATCAATACTACTGCCTTCCTATGGATTATTCAACAGCCTTGAAGAAGTTTGTTGGAAAAGTTAGAGTCGATTAATTAATGGGGGGTTTCAATGCAGAATTTGACCAGGTAAGGATTCAAATATTGGGAAAAGAAGACATGCTTTCGCTAAATGAGTTGGAAAAGAAAGCAGGAGAGGAGTTATGCCGAAAACCTCGCTCCATTAAGAGCGCGGTCATTATTCAACGGTTCCAAATCACTCCAACCGGTGAAGGAACTGAGTTAGATTGACACACTAGCAATAGGAGGAGAGGATGAAGATAATATGTGGTGTACCTTTTGCAAGAAGTCAAAGACACACCACGGAGAAATGCTAGAAACTCCATAAGAAGTCCACTACCTCAAGCAAGGAGTGAGGTATAAAATAACCCACAAAATATGGACAAGTTCATGTAGTCAGCCAGGAGGAGGAGGAAAGAACCATTGATCTTAGTAAATTCAAAGTTAAATGAATGCTAAAGAAGCAGGCTTGAGGAACTTGAAAAACCATAGGTATAAATTTGTTGGCACGCACAGGTACATTTTCTCTCTCACAGAGTTTAAATACCTCATACAAACCATTTAAACAGTCAATGATTATATACTCAGGGGTCACTAATTATATGAGTAACTCTTTAAAATATCTCCACACATATGTTTCATGTCCAAGTAGTAGAAAAATTGTCATTCCTGATGGTTCTTTAAACACCATTGCAGGAAAAGGTAACATTAAGATTAGTCATAATCTGATTCTCGAGAGTGTGTTACATGTCCCTAATTTTAGCCACTAAATTATCAGAAGACATGAATTACAAAATAACATTTTCCCTTCTAATTGTGACTTTCAAAATTAGAATTTGAGTTTCCAATTATAACTATGAATTATTGAAAACATAACTATACTTCTTTTGTTGCTATTAGAAAATGTTACATGCTTATATTTAGTACATTCGGATATATTGCAATCCAAATTTCTATTAAAAAAATCTTTAATTTAAAAATGAAACATAATCTTCAAAGCTGAACCAGATGA